GATTTTAGTATGTACGTAAACCATGTAGCCTATCGATGTGAGTTGTCACGGCCGTCAGTACGGTTGTCCCCGTCGATGTAATACGGTTACCTGCGAGGTAAGTCTCCGTAAGATCTAATGAAAGGCCGTGCCTTGTCGTATGGCACGTACCCCCATGAGTTAGGGTAATGAATCCCCTTTCCTTGGCTAATGAAGATGTGTACACGTGGGTATTATGTTGTGATGTGATTAGGAGACGTGACAGAGTAATTGTTTTATGTTCATACTCTAACCATACATTCTCTTCATTATTCATGTTGTGATATATGTGCATAGTGGTGAGCACGCTTTTCATCTTGTGCTCATCCCCACCTGCTGTTTACCGATGCAGGTTAAGTGACAGCCGGGTGACGAGGAAGAGACGAGTTGGGTCGGTCTAATTACTTATGCATTTTTATTGCTTCCGTTGAACTTGAATAAGTTTGTTGCACGTTATGTTTTGTACAAACTATTTTCAAACCTGGTGCGTTGGTTTTTGAATCTTATGAACCTTGGTTGTTATGGGATTTATGGTTGGATATTTAGTTCATGAGTTGATGTTGGTTAATGAAAACCGATTATGAAAACCGGGTAATGAATCCCCGTAGGCCCAGATAAGACTTGGGTTATGAAAATGTTGTTTAACACCCACTAAATTTTCGAAAATGATTTTGAAAATTTTATACTGATTTTTGAAAAATCCAGAATTTCGGTAAAATCAAAGTGGGGTGTTACATAGAAGAACTCCAAAGAAGGAGAAGCTTGAGCTCGTCCACTCCGATATTTGGGGTCCAACCACTGTCCCATCCGTTGGTGGGAAGCAATACTTCATGACTTTTATCGATGATCACTCCAGAAAGGTATGGGTTTACTTTCTGAAACACAAGTCAGAAGTATTTGAAGCTTTCAAGATTTGGAAAGCTATGGTGGAGAATGAGACGGGCTTGAAGATCAAGAAGCTCAGATACGACAATGGTGGTGAATACGTAACCACCAGATTCAAGAAGTTTTGCTATGAGCACGGGATCAGAATGGAGAGAACCGTGCCTGGTATGCCTCAACACAATGGTGTAGCTGAGCGTATGAATCGAACGTTGACTGAAAGAGCCAGAAGCTTGCGTGTGCAGTCAGGCCTACCAAAGCAGTTCTGGGCAGAAGCAGTCAACACAGCAACTTACTTGATCAACCGAAGTCCATCGGTACCATTGGATCACAAGTTACCAGAAGAAGTATGGAGCGGAAAAGAAGTAAAACTCTCACATCTTAGAGTTTTTGGGTGTGTAGCATACGTGCACATCAGTGATCAAGGTAGAAACAAACTTGATCCATAATCAAAGAAATGTACTTTCCTTGGTTATGGTGAAGATGTGTTTGGCTATCGCTTATGGGATGATGAAAGCAAAAAGATGATCCGCAGCAGAGATGTCATCTTTAATGAAAGAGTGATGTACAAGGACCGGCATAACAG